GAGCGATGGATTGGGAGCTTCCACTGAACACTAATAAGTGCAGAAAGCTTATATTCCAGGGAGGCCAGCCACCATCAAATAACGGGCGACTAAACCCGGATAACCCTCAGGCAATAACCCAAACAGGGTAGATGCGGGATCTGGGAGTGCTCATACGCGAGACCGGCAAACCAGCCAAGCAGTGCCTCCTAGCGACAAAAACAAACAGAGCGCTACACCAGTTACTGAGAACGGTGGCCTCAAGAGATAAATTATTCCTTCTCCCGCTATACAAAGCGTTTGTTAGGCCACACTTAGAGTACCGTGTGCAAGCCTGGACACCATGCTTAGTGAAGGACTCGGCGGTACTAGAGAATGTACAAAGGAGGTTCGCACGGCGAATCCGGGGATGGGAGGGTTGGACTACCACAGCAGGCTAAGAGAAGTTAACCTGTTCTCTTTGGTCAGAAGACGATTAAGGGGGTCCTAATAGAGGCTTTCAATCAACTAAAGGGACTATCCAGCACGTGAACGCAGCTGCTATCCAGGAATAATAAACTAGCAATACGGGGAAACGGAATGAAGCTGGGGAAACCGAGAGCACTAAGGAGCATCCGGGCAAATTTATTCTCTCATAGGGTTACAAACCCTTGGAACAAGCTACCAGCCTCGGTTGTTTCAGCAGGCTCAGTTAGGGAGTTCAAGGGTCGTTTGGACGCAATGTGGACGGAACGTTTTCCAGAAGCTGTATAAAAAGAGGTCAAACAGAACAAAGGGTGTAGGCATGCGTGCAGGTCCGTGTGTACACACTTGTGTGTATTGGAGAAGACCTGAATGTCCCTAGTGGATAGATAGTAGACTGCTCAGTGTGCGGCAATCACGAAAGCGCTATTATACAGGGTGGGGCGGACAACCGGGCTCAGACGGACACATACTCAGGGTCAGTACTCGAGTGCAGGTGGACTAAAGCATCTGGAAGTACGGCTTCAGGGAGTATGAAGGAGGCTGCTACACGTTTTCACCTCCCTCCCGCGTCCACTACACTATCGACGTTTCCTCTCTGTCTTCTCTATTTCATCAAGAAACCTTTACATCCTACCATTAAGTCTATACAGGACGATCCGAAGGAAACCATCACACCTCCAAACTAGAGAGATAGGCGGCGACGACTCCTAGGGTTGGTACAGTAAGACGCACCCTAAATCATACGGGTCGCAAGAAGAAACGGTGACGCTCAGTCGCAAACCGGCCCTGCAAGCAGGAGGAGAACCAAAAGTTAATGGCTCATTTGGGTGAACAGCAATGGCAACCGCTCTGCTGCCCCAAAATAAACGGATACGTGTTTTTACACTACAGCTGGTGGTTATAACACCATAAACTCTAAGCGCAATGCCGACGGGGTAACGTTTTCCTAACCTAGCTAAAGAGTGTGCCGAATATGCCAAATCTCTCTTGACCGAGGGGTGCCCGGTTTCCGAGGCTAACTCTTGTCCCTTAACCTCTTCTTCTTAACTCTTGTTCACTCTATGGTTAATGATGTTCACTTAAGAATGTTTCCTTGAATGTTGTTTGGGATCAGGGTCCATAAATCCTCCTTCACCAACCTCCAACTGATCTAGCCTGAAAAAACAGGTCGCGACCCCACCGCATGTGAGACTTGAACCCTAGGTAGTGACCAGACGAGACTCGGTTGGTCTACCCTGTTCCCCATTTATGACATACGTGAGTATAGTCAGTAAGTTCATCAAGCACTCAGCGTCGTACTGTCGTTCTCTTTCTGGGACAAGAAAGGATGGTTACCAGTATACGCTAATATATGCACGGGACTGCGTGGACGTTAGGAAGGTGTGGAGGTGTTTGAATATGTTTGAACGTATGAGTGGCTGAAGGTACAAGTACTGTAGTGGAAGAGATACTACATATACGAATAATAATGAAATAAACGGTACAAGGAACGGACTCACAGAAGGATTGTCCGCTGGTCGATTGCTCCTGTTCTTGTGATGTGTGGTTCCGGTCGAGGAGGTGTAGAGGAGCTGAAATGGATGACTGCGACAGTTAACGGACCGTTCGACGATAACTGATAATGCCTGCTTAATTCCTCAGCAACACTCGGAGAACAGGTGCGTATTTACGAACAAAATTTTGTATTGTGTGTTAGGTGCTGTGCATATTAAAACAAGCTGTACAATCATGTCAGATAAAGTGGTTAGAAAAGTAAGACACTACAGTACCCCCTTCTAAAGTGAAAGTGCAAACTGTATACTCTATAAAGGTGAGAGGATGGCGTCATCAAGTACGCGGGTGCCGAGGCGTTGCCGCATGTGTCGCAACAACTGGGACGGGGTGTGGTCGCCGCTTTCGAGGTCCCCAAACAATTCATCTAATCGACGTTCATCCGACGCAGCTGTGCGGGTGCCTAACGCCTTCTTCAACTGAGTGTATGGGTCAGTCTCAGGCATGGTGATGATAAATTCAAACACCTGTACCGCAATATCGATGAGCAGGGAAGTGACTATGTGGGAATACATAAGCGTCTGGGAAAGGATGCGGTGGGCACGAAAATGGGCTTCGGTTTGGGCGATCCATAACCGGGGATTGTTAATACCGAATGCCGGCAATTTAATGTGAGAAGACATGGGAAGGTCCCCTATGTCTAGTTTTGATTGCTCCATATGTGAAATATACCGTAAACAAGTAAGATAAAATGAAATGAAATTCCTGAAGAATCTGGGGTACCGTAGGAAAATATGAAGCGATAGATGATCTAAACAAGGGCTCACCAAATACGTAGTGGAAAAGATACTACATATATATATGACCATGATTGTACGAAGAAAACGAGCAATCCACGAGGACGTTTTCCGTTCATATTTTCTTCACAATCAACTCTGACTTCAGCTCTGATATTTCTTTGTTTTACTTCTGCTTGTTTGACTGAGCACGGTTTTCCGCTCAGGCAGATATATAGGCTGGGTCCTGTTCAAATCCAAGCTACACGTATGGCACGCTTTCGCTTTACTACTGCATTTATTGCTTGCATTGTTTAACGTCACCTTGGCACGTTTCGGTGCTACCTAGTACCACGATTCGACAATAAACGTTTATGACTCCCACGAGTGTTTTTGTCTACCTCGGGCAATGAGACACTAGAAGGTCGCGCGCATATTGAGACTCGTAAGAAGACTTACCGGCAGGCCGTCAATTCCGGTTGGCTTCATTGCTGAGCCCTCACCGTCTACTCTGTAAGTCAATTCCACTTGGGTTTGCACTTTTTCCTCACGGTTCATTATCATTTGCACGATATAATTCTTTATCGCATTTGTACAATGTCCGAGGAACGTCCACCGGTAGACGATAGGGGGCTGGACCTACTGGCTATTAGTTTTAAGCCAGTAGTCTTCATCCCCCATGACCCCGAAGTGTGGTTTGCGGCGTTTGAAACGCAGTTTGTCGCCCGTAACGTGCGGAGCCAGCGCTCCAAATACCTTTACGCAGTAGAGGCGATCCCTGGCGACCGAATGTCCGCCATCAGGGATATTATTCTTAAACCACCGGAAAAAGACGCGTACGAAGTTCTGAAGGCTGCAATCCTTCAGTTCTATACCCCCTCTAACGAGGAGAGGTTGCGCCAGTTGCTGGCTCGTCACCCGATCGGTGACACGACCCCAAGCAGGCATCTGGCGCGTCTACGCTCGCTAGCCGGCCCAGCAAACGCCCACTCTGACGTTGTCAGAGAGCTGTGGCTCGAGTCGTTGCCACGTCACGTTCAACCGACGGTAACGGCTCTACTGGAAGATTCCTCAATTGACAAAGCTGCGTCGATTGCAGGTAAGATAGTTGCACGTGACGGTAACGAGCATAATTTCCTCGTTGCCACGACATCGCAACCGTATAGCGGGAACAGGGATAAATATGCAGTACGGCCTTCACAGCCAC